GGCCTGCTCATGCCCTTGCCGATCCCCACTATCGTCTGGGCGGATATCGGCCTCGACTTTGTAGAAGCCCTACCGTGCGTCAACGGGAAGTCGATCATCCTCTCCGTCGTCGACCGCTTCAGCAAGTACTGCCACTTCATTCCCTTGGCGCACCCATACACCGCCAAGTCCGTGGCTCACGCGTTCTTCGCCGACATTGTTCGCCTCCACGACGTGCCCTAGTCCATGGTGTCCGACCGTGACCCGGTGTTCACCTCCACCTTTTGGCGCGAGCTCATGCGTCTCATGGGCACCAAGCTGCACATGTCGTCGGCATTCCATCCCCAGTCCGACGGACAGACGGAGGCCGCCAACCGCGTCATCGTGATGTACCTGCGCTGCTTCACCGGCGACCGCCCCCGCCAGTGGCTACGTTGGCTCCCATGGGCCGAATACGTCTACAACACGGCGTACCAGTCCTCGCTCCGGGAGACACCGTTCCACGTGGTGTACGGTCGTGATCCTCCCACCATTCGCTCTTACGAGCCAGGTGAGACAAGGGTGGCCGCGGTCGCGCAGGACATGGAGGAACGCGAAGCCTTCCTCGCCGGCGTCCTCTTCCGCCTGGAACAGGCGCAGGCAACGCAGAAGCTCCACTACGACAAGCAGCACCGACCGGTTTCCTATCAGGTGGGCGACTGGGCTCTACTCCGGCTCCGCCAACGTGCTGCGGCTTCGCTTCCTCATCCTACTACAGGGAAGCTTAAGCCCCGCTTCGTCGGCCCCTACCGCATCACCGAGCTCATCAACGACGTTGCCATCCGTCTGGAGCTGCCTCCGCGCGCCCGTCTACACGATGTGTTTCACGTCGGCGTGCTCAAGAAGTTCATCGGGACACCTCCAGTAGCACCACCGCCCCTTCCGTCTATCCACCACGGCGCGGTGGCTCCAGAACCAGTCCGTGTCGAGCGGGCTCGCTTGGCGCGTGGTGTTCGGCAGGTGCTCGTCCATTGGCGTGGAGAGCCAGCGGCGTCGGCCACATGGGAAGACCTCGACGCGTTCCGCGACAAGTATCCGGCCTTTTAGCTCGAGGACGAGCTGGACCTCGAGGGGGGGGAGAGATGTCATGTGGGGCCGCGCATACACAAGGCAGCCGAAGGCCCGTGACGTCCGCAGGACAGCGGCAGGCGAGGCCGCGATCAACGCGGCGACTGAGGCCGTGATCACCACGCGCATGGAAGGCAGGAGCGTGACCAGTGGCTAGGAGATATTCTAGGCCTAGAAATTAGGATCGTTTGTTTCCAAGTTTGTTGGCCGGTTGGCCATTATATTTTCCTGTACGCTGAACAATGAGGATTAAGAAAGATATTACCTATCTAATCTCCCTCTCTTCCCTCAACCCAAGCCTACGGCAGAGGAGAAAACCTCGCCGGAGAAGACGGACCGAGACTACGAACTCCGTAGTCGAGGGCCAGCTACCCTAGGAGTGAACGCCCTTGACAATTGAAGTCTCATAAATTGAAGTCTCATATTTTCTGTAAGGTGCATAACTTTGCAGCCCTGCCATAGATGGGACCGCGTGATGGATGCAGATAAGATTTGCTGTTTTTTTTTTCGTTTGGTAACACTGGGAGTGTCTGCCGAAAATCCTCCCCCCCCCCAAGCACAACTGTGATGGCCCCAAACTGTTTGCTGGAGAGTGACGGATCCTTATATGTCATGATATCTTTCAATGTTCGATCCAGTGCTTCAAACAAATGCCTATGATTGACTGGCGCCTCATCCCATATTATCAAAGATGTTTCTTGCACTAACTGAGCTAGATGAGTGTTTTTTATCACTTTTTGGAATGGAACAAACAGACTCTTCATGTATGTCTAATGGCATTCTGAACCGTGAATGAGGCGTGCGGCCACCTGGAAGTAAAAGAGATGCTATTCCAGAAGAGGCAACAGCCAAAGCAATTTTTCCTGTGGATCTTACTGCATTCAGCAATGTATTCCAAAGGAATGTTTTTCCGGTGCCACCGAAACCATGGACAAAGAATGTGTGGCCAATGTCGTTGTGTACAGAATGAAGAACAGCATTATATATATGCCTCTGATTCAGGTTTAATTTACAAAGCTGCTCATATGACTGCTCATCCATTAGAAGCCTATTGCGTAGCATTGACATGGCTGCTATGTTTGGCTGAGGTAGATGAAAGTGGCTCAAACTGTGACCATAATTTTTTAGTAAGCTTTCTATCTCAGTAAGGGCATAGGATCTAACGTGTTCCATTGAAGAGTTTGTAGAGAAATCTATCTCTGTTGAACTAAGATTCATGTGCCGAAAAGCATCCTGACCCATCACGCACACATGTTCTTCAAACAAACTGAGAGGGTTTGTAACCTGACAGAACATAAGGAGTGTGACAAACAACTCACGAAGTTGATGAGGAAGAGCCCAATGAGCTGCATCAGTAATTGCATAGGACCACTCACGATCATCACCGAGAAGACCCAAGGCCTGGCATGCAGACTGGAATGTTGGATATGTGTGTCCTTCAATGGTTCAAAGGTCAGAATAAGACTGTTTTTAGATAAAAGATAGTTTATATCCGGCCTCATCTACCATGAGGTAGAACCAGGCCAATTATTACAAGGTTCGACCCAACGGTGAGCACACAACTTACACAGTTTACAAGCTTACAGCCAGACTTTGGAAACACCAAGCGTGAAGTAAAGTCTTGACTAAGAAGGACCGATAAATCTATTTGAGAGCCACCCATTGGAACTAAAGAAATGCAAGGCTGATGTCTCCAAAAGCCGCTCAGCAGATGTCAGCTGGTCCCGTAGATCATCACGCCGCTGCAGTCTTGCCCATTGCCACAGCCAATGGGTTTCTCTGAAGAGTACCTGCAAAAAAAAATTCGGTCTACATTTGTCAAAAACTACTTTATTTCTTGTTATCCAAATTGTCCAACATAAAGCCGATGTTGCTGTTAGTAACAATGAATTGTGAATAGTACCACCAACTTTAGACCAATTAACAAATAAATCATCTATGCTGAGGGGAGGTGATATCCCAAACACTAAGTGTACAACGCGCCACAGGAATTTGGTATAAAAGCATTCGATAAAAAGGTGATGAATAGATTTTGGAGAGTGACAAAAACTACACCTTGTGTCAGCATTCCAGTTACGTCGGGCGAGGTTATCTTTGGTAAGGACCACACCTTTTTTAGGTATCACAAAAATATTTTTATTCTTATAGGAATTTTAATCTGCCATAAATCTTGTGACACTTTGACCCAATTGTTGATTAACGCAGCATACATAGATTTTACAGAATATCTGCCTGATAAATGTAGTCCCCAAACAAAAGCATCCCTTTCCCCCTGTAAATTCACATCTTGTAACGAGGCAACAATTCTATGACAGTCCCTTAGGTTCGTACCCACCAGGTTGCGGCGGAAGGAAATGTTTAGTGGAACTGAAGCAATTACTGTTGCCACCGAATCTTGTTTTCTTCTCACAATATTGAACAACGAAGGGAATCTATTCTTCAATGGCTGATTTCCCAACCAAGTGTCCATCCAAAAACGAGTTTGTGACCTGTCTTTCACTTTGAATGAACCAAAGCTCATGAAGGAATCTTTAACATTCATCAGACCTTTCCAGAAATAAGAATCTGTTGGCTTTTTAGTGCATCCCCCTAGAGTCTTGTCTTTTATATATTTATTCCTCAACAATTCTTGCCACATGCCATCTTCATTCAAAAGTTTAAAAAGCCACTTACTCAGCAAGCATTTGTTGTAGGTCTAGATTGTGTATACCTAAGCCTCCTTGGCCTTTTGGTTGGCACAAGATCTCCCATTTAGCCAATCTATATTTGTGTTTGTGTTGATCATTTTGCCAGTAGAATCTTGATCTAAAGTAGTCAATCTTTTCTAATACACATTTAGGTAATTCAAAGAATGACATCATAAACATCGGTAAGCTAGAGAGCACCGAGTTTATTAAGACCAAGCGACCTCCTACCGAGAGCAATTTACCTTTCCATCCACTAAGTTTCTTCTCAATTCTATTTTCAATTGTCTGCCAATCTTTATTACTCAACTTTCTAGTGTGCATCGGTAAACCAAGGTAGCGGAAAGGGAATTTACCCACCCCACATCCAAACAGTTGCGAATAAAACACCTCATTATCCCTTGCTTTACCAAAACAGAAGATCTCACTTTTGTGAAAGTTGATTTTAAGCCCTGAAAGTTGCTCAAAATTACTTAAAATTAACTTCATGTTTCTTGCTTTTTCAAAATCATGACTCATAAATAACACTGTGTCATCCGCATATTGGAGAATGGACAAGCCATCTTGGACAAGGTGGGGGATGACCCCTTCTACTTGACCTGCTTCCTTGGCTCTAGCAATCAGTATGGCCAGCATGTCTACCACTATATTAAATAGTATTAGAGACATTGGGTCACCTTGCCTTAAGCCTTTTTTCGTTTGGAAGCAGGAGCCAAATTGATCATTCACCTTAATATTTACATTACCTTCTTGTGTGAACTGCTTCACCCAAGAGCACAATTTTTGTGAGAAACCTTTCATTCTTAAAGTTTGCTGTAGAAAACTCCATTTTACTTTATCATATGTCTTCTCAAAATCTATCTTAAAGATTAATCTTGTTTTTTAAAGTGAAGTTCATGTATCCTTTAACAATGTGGAGCAACGTGCGGAGGTAATAGGCATCTCCTTGGTTAGGGCCAATACTTGGTAGTCTACCAATCTTCTTCCGATTATTTTTTCGTGTATCCCAATACTGTCCATCTCCATGCCAAGTAAAATGTTGAGGGAATTCAACATATGTATACTGAGAAGCCCAGGGAAATGTTCTGTTCGCAGCAAACCAAGCTGTGAGCTTTGTGACCTTTTTTCTTGGATTTTCTAGGATCTGCTCTAATACAGTTTTCAAATGGCATGTGGACCTGAAGGCGTTCAACTGCGGGGTTAGTATAGTGAATGGTGCCTCATTTGGAGCTATGCTGCCTCATTTGGAGCTATGCACCTACATTCCAGGTAGGCACGTATCTCATCAAATCTTTGTATAGAAGTTTCTGTGAATGGCCGCCTACGCTGGAGGCCCACCCTTGCACAATCGAATCCTTTAGCAAGGTACTTGAATAGGTATTTTTCCATTCCATCACGATTAGCCCTCTCTACATTTATGTGGGCCTGATATTTGACCAATAAGTCAACGTTGTGAGGAACAACAAAGCGATTGTCAAGATCAATGCCATTCTTTTTTGCATTGTTTCCATTATTTGGTCGGGCGTACCGAACATGGCCATTCTGCAAGATTACTGTCCTGTCACAATATTCTTTAGGATAGTGCTTGGAACATTGACCATCGACCATGCATGAACACCTGGGGTTAGCAGATCCACAAGGACCATGGATCATAAATGTCTTGACAGCTTCATACCCAACTGGATCAACATTTTGATCTGGTAGTTGTGCAGATATGAGTTTGTCAACATCAGAAGCTGTAAGCGGTCCGTTCTTATTTAACCATACTATAATATGAACATGTGGAAGGCCACGTTTTTGGAACTCAATCGTGTATACAGCTGCAAGAGGGCATTAGTATGAGTGCTGCCCTGGGATTGAAGCCAGTGCCTCCGTTACTTCTAACCAAAGGGGATTTGATGTGAAAGTGATAAATAGGTCAGGGCAGCCATAGATTCGACAAAGTGCAACAGAATCAAGGTAATTTTGGTATAAATACCGTGGCCCTCCAACATGGGAAGAAGACAACACGTTTTTTGTCCAGCCTGGAACCCCTTTGTAATGCCCTTGCTGACACTATCACGGATTTCTTTGAATGAGGCAGATCTATATTTTTGCTGAAATGATTCTGTTCTGTAGTGGCTTAATCAGGATTCCTCGACACAACAGTAGGCATCAACCAAATAAGCTTGTGTGCCTCTCTTGCAGCGCAATGGTGTGTTGAAGTCATCAAGCCTATCATGCAGCCTATACGTAAAGTATTCAAGCATAGTAGCATTATTTCTTTTGATAGCCCGGGATCGATGGCATTGCCGATAATTAATTTTCTCATGGTAGCCATCCTCTCCGTATGGAAACAGAATAGGATACTGCATTGCCATGAACTTGCGGTGCTTCTGCTTCTCATCCACTCGTTGCAACTGACCAGATTGATCTTCCACAATTAAATCACGGCCACCATCACTTTGACCTACATCACCAACTACTAAGCCAACAACCTCAGAGGCCACAGGAGCACTAAATATGTCACCATGCTTATCAGGTTCACCATACAATCTTATGACATATTTGTCTGGAGCACTTCCAACTATTCTATCACGAGCTGTTCTGAACAGTTGGACAATTGGGTTATGTGTGTTGAACATGTCTATAAGTGCAGCAACAATATCTTGGCGTGGAGAAAAATTGCTTCCTGTATAACTTGCTACATTCATCCTATTTCTGACCTCATTATCAGTGTCAAATATATATAGCTGAGCATATTCAGGTCGGTGTCCGTCCCTCGGCAAGAGTGACCCAATACGGTGGCAGAGCTGGCCACTTATCTTGAACACATATGGTCCGCGACCATCATTGATAGACTCAATCACACGAACGCCCATCGATGTAACGGCGAACATAGAGTTGTAGTACCTGATGTTTTCGAAGAAATGAGCTGATAGTGATTTGTCCACTCCTGTGAGAAGACCACGCAAAGGTTCCGGAGCCGGCCTGTATGGAGGCAAGATGACACTCCCCTTTTTGCAGCACTTGGTGTATACGGGCGATGATGCATGTCGGTCTTGCTTGACACGCTCCTCATACCAAAATAAGGCCCCACAATAACGGCATGCGTGAGATAATGGGCCAAGCTTGAAAGGCGAGTAAACAGTGCCTATAACAACAGAAAGAAAGCAAGACTATGAGCGCAGGGATGTGCGCACACTAAAGATGGAGATATACAATCTGGTCATCGATGTTTTTCTTTGACATCGTATTACCGCTGAGCATGGGCATTGTGAGCAGGCTCTGAGAGTAGGCATTAAGAACAGGCATTGAGAACAGGCACGGAGAAAGTTTGCATGGGCATACATGGCATGAACTGGTAGAAGATCACGGTCAGTGCGAATGGAATATAAAGCGAATGGAATAGAAGACAAATAAATATGAAAAGGAAGCGGATGTTGCGGTAATGAACTTACGTTTATGGGCATCAACTGGAAGCAGAGTGCTTTGAGAGGTTGATGCTGAACCTGGACTTGTTGGCCAAAGGTATTAGTAAGGAATCAGTCGATCATGTAGGAGCAAACAAAATTCTCTGATTACTGGAGAGCTGCGGCAAACACTATAAGCAGGTGTACATGGGTAAGGAGAAAACGAACCTTGCTGTGGACTGACCAACATATGAGCCTTACGTTTCCGGTAGGGATCAGGCGAAGCGATGATACTGGGGCGTGGCACTTCTGATCAGTAAAAGAAATAGTAAGGCACAGAAGACAAACGCAATCTGAAAGATGACAACACGCCATCGTGTCTCTAATAAGCAATAGGGAAATGGTGGATTATAAACATATGACAGGAAGCATGTCAGGAAACCACAAGAGGACATGTCGAAGAAAAAGGTAAAATTAGGTATCATAGTACCAGTTGGCTCAGCGGCTAGACGATGACGCACCGAGCGTCTAGACGGAACATGAAAGTTTGTAGGGAAGTCATCAGGAACCGGCATGCTGATTCCATCAGGTGGCGTCTGGAATTGTAGCAGCAATTGTATTGTCTACAGGTATAGGGAAGCATGAGATCTAAAGTCAAGGAACTCCATAAGTTTGCACGCATTCTGGAATTTAGCATCTACGAACCTGGAGCTGACGAGGTTACCGGAGGGTGCCTGCGTCTACGGCGTGTATTCGAAGCCGATGGCCCTATAGGAGGTAACATAGGTGTGTCCTGTAATGCTGCAACATGTATGGCACACACTGTATGAGCTGCTGATCATAAAGGTAGGTATATATTCCCCAAAAAATTGGATGAACATGATTACATATCTCTGAAAATCTTTGTTTCTGTAAGACAAACATTGTAAGTAGCTGATTCCAAAGGCATGAGTAAATCTCTTGAAGCACAAATAAATCTAAAAACTATAACAACAAAGTAATATACCTGGAGGCTGAGCAGACAGGCGACGGCGGCATGTGGAAAGTCGCAGGGAAGTCATCAGGGACATCTTGCACGGCAGTTCGATTAGGTGTGAAGTTAATAAGATGGGAAAAAGTCACGGTTGTAAAGGAAGGAAAAGCAGGTGCATGGAACGCACATATAGGATACTACTTTACTAACCAGGAACTGAGGAAGCAGCTGGATGGCCGCGCCTGCGATTAGGTGCCGCGGGTGGAATCACGCACGAGTGATGGTGGGAACTGCGGACAGCAAACAGAGAGAGCTGAGGAAGACCCATAAATGGATGACCATAGAATGGAGATAGGCTTACACACTGGGGAGCGGAGTCATATCAAAGTCTGTATCTCATATGCATCTCATACTGGGAAACTAAATTTGTGAATAGGGAAGTACCTGACTGATTAAAGCATCCGCTCCCCTGAGACGGGGGCAGCCGCAGGACTGCCGGGCCGTGCCAGCCGCCGCCGGGAGCGGAGTCATATCAAAGTCTGTATCTCATATGCATCTCATACTGGGAAACTAAATTTGTGAATAGGGAAGTACCTGACTGATTAAAGCATCCCCTCCCCTGAGACGGGGGCAGCCGCAGGACTGCCGGGCCGTGCCAGCCGCCGCCGGGATTTTTTTCCCTCTTAGTGATAAGTCATGGCTGAAAGTACCGTTAGCTGATTTGTTGTGAGAGAAAAATATTATTTGTTGACTAAAAGAAGTATGGTTTATAAGCGAAGTGAACAGGGCATTTAACTTTTTCTTCGTTTGCCACTTTTATATGCGCTCCTACACAATTGTCATCGCAAATAGTGAACCTTCTATATTTTTATCATTTTTGCTGACATGCTATGTCAGGTGGGCACGCCAGCGTGGTAGTGAGTCTGAGAAGGCCTACCAAGCATGCGAAATGACCTATTTACCCATGTTACTTCTCTCCCTCTACTCGTTGACGCGTGGGCTCCACACGTTAGCTTTATCTTCAACCTCCCGCCATCACTCGAAGCCGAGTGACCCGATGGCGAGTGGGCTCTGACGGCGGAGGGAGGAGGAGCGGCGCGCTGGCACTTAGGCCGTGCTGGTACAGAGCTGCTGCCTCATAAAAGCTCCCTGCGCTTGCTCCTGTTTGCAGCTTCCACGGAGGCGGGGTAGAAGACTGGAGCTTGCACGGAGCTGCGGCCATGACTGGAGCTCCATTGTCACCATCGATCTCCCCCATCCAGCCGTCTCTGCTACTCCCAACGGGCTCTGCGAGTTCGCAGTGGCATGACGACTTCACCACCGCCATCGCCGCCATTGCCGTCCCGAGGTCGAGCTCACCGATCTCCGCATACACAGCAGCTCTCGCCTCCCCGTCTCCTTCGTTGGCGCCGCAAGGACCCGCCGCGGCCGCCAATCCACATCTCAGCGCCAATCCATGGCCGCAGTGGCGTCTTCCACCTCAACCGAAGCACTCCGCCGGAGAGCCTCGCTTCTACCCGTGGCTGGCTGCCACAACCCCTCTTTGCCGCAAGAACTCCTCCATCGACTTGCTCGTCGTCCTCGGCTGCTCGGCAGCCATGGAGGGATGACGAAGCTGGAGGTGCCTGGCTCCCATCCAGGTGCTGGAGGTGTGAGATGAAGCTAGAGGTGCCTGGCTCCCATCCGTGGCCGGAGGTTGAAGACAAAGCTGACGTGTGGAACCTACGCGTCCGTGAGTAGAGGGAGAGAAGCAACAGGAGTAAATAGGTCATTTCGCATGCTCTATAGGCTTTCTCAGGCTCACTACCACGCTGATGTGTCATGTCAGCAAAAATGATAAAAACATAGGAGGTTTACTGTTTGCGATGGGTGGTAAAAAGTTAAAAATCCCGCCGCTGCCGGAGCGTGTGACTGATTAAAGCATCCGCTCCACTGAGACGTGGGTAGCCGATCTTCTCGCCGGGCCGTGGCTGACTTTGCCGGAGCGTGAAAGCAGGACCCGCGCACTTGGGGGAGGAGTAAATCGTCGACTGAACAACGGGTTCGCGTGGCGGAGCGATGAAGCGCGACAAGCACGGAGGGACGACGCCGCCCGCGGTGAAGCTATTGTCGAGAGAGGAGGATGGCCGAGCGCCTGGCTGGCGCGGCGGGGAGGACGGACGCCGCGAACAGGCGGTCGAGGAGAGGGAGGATACTGAGCGGCGCGACGACGATGGGGGGGCAGCGCGGCGTGCCAGGTGGGGTCGGTCGTCGATGGACAGGAGACGGAAGGCTGGATGGGTGGCTGGCGCTGCTGAATCGGAGGGTTCTGCAAGGCAAGGCCGTTGGCGCTGTAGTAATCAGAGGAACGCAGAGAGGCGTTGGCACATGGATTGGGCGGGTAGGAACCTATGAGCGGACTGTGGGGCTGTGGACGGTGGGGCTGTCCCAGAATCTAAATATAAAAATATAAATTGTAGCATGGTGACGACGACGATGATGATACCTACTCGTATGCAAAATGATGTCAAAAAATTTATGAGCAAACATATATGGTACTCGTATAACGACATTTTTCTACGGAGACATTGCCCATAAAGTACTGCTTACAGCTGGTTTCTGCACTTGGAAGGATGAAAAAAAGCTAAGTTAGAAAGTATTATAAGGGCAACTCCAGCCAATATCCTATCCCATCCCTCATCTCATTTTGAGGTCTAAAACGCAAAAAAAAAACTTCTCCAACCGGTCTCCTATCTGAACCCCGACGGACGAGGATCCCTCGTTCCTGTCTCCTCATCCCCCACATCTGAGCGACTCTCATCCCGAGCCTCATCCACCAAGCGGGCCAACGGCCGTCTTCCCGCGCCGCCGTGGAGATCTCCGAGCGGGTACGTCCATGTTCCCCTCTTCTTGTTATTGTGGCATCCGTGGCTGCTTTCTCGGCTTCTAGATGGATGGGAGACGGGGATACGAAATATACCTCGTAGATCTGGGCGGCGTGGCCGCCGCCGCTTGCCGGCCGCCCGTGCTGGGCAGCCTTGGGCTGCTGCTGCGCCCCTGATTCGCGTCATGAGGCCCCTGCTGTGCCCCTTTTGTGCTGCTGCCGTGCAAATGTGCTTTGTCAGTTGCTCCACGGCTGCTTTATCTTGACCCTCTTGTGCCTCTTCTTTGCCGTCTTGCGGCGCCAGCGCCACGATGTATTTGCTCGCCATGACCTATTGTGTGCATTGCTTTGCAGGTGTCTTTGCTATCTTGCCTTCTTTGTGCCCCGCCGTGCGTTGGTGCCGTGGGTTGCAGAGTGAAGAGAGAGAGAGAGAGAGAGAGGGAGCGCTGCAAAGTGAAGACAGAGAGAGCGAGTGCGGTGAGCGAAAGATTTAGAGTGTGGTGAGAAGTAAAGACTGGCATTATTTAATCAATTTTGGCTTGTGCTTGATTCTTTTTTTTAATGAAAAGGTTGTGGTTAATTTGTTAATATAGTCAATTCCTATATCCAAGAAGAACAAATGGAGAGTTGGGTTGATTTGCTCTCAGGCAATGGGGACAACAATGATATGTGTTTTGATGACTTTCAAGTTGAAACACATGTTGAACATTGTACTCCCCCCTGAAATCAAGTAAGAAGAGGACTAGAAATTTCATTCCCCACGAAGACACTATGTTGGTGAAAGCATGGCTAGAAATTAGCTTGGATCCAATTCTAGGCACTGATCAAACTCGTAGTACTTATTGGAAGCGAATTCATGATTATTATCATGAGCACAAGACTTTTGAGTCCGAGCGTAATATTAGTTCTCTCTCTCACCGTTAGGGTATCATCCATAAAAGTGTTAATAAATTTTGTGGATGCTATACTCAAGTTCAGAACAGAAGAGAAAGCAGGCTGACAGAGCAAGATAAGGTAAGTTGTTTAATTCTATAAATTGATTGGAAATGTATATCTTTTGTGCATGGTAGCCAACACATGTTTTTTGTACAGATAGAACGGGCAAAGGAATTGTACCAGAAAAAAGATCCAGGGGGAAATCATTTATTTTCATGCACTGCTGGAATAAGCTGCAGCATGAGCAGAAGTGGGCTGATCTAGGTTGGGAGACCTCTCAAAGCCCTCAGAAAAAAAAACAAAAGACTTTCTCAACCACAAGTCTAGGGTCATGTACACCTGGAACTCATGATGATAAAGGAGAAAGCACGCAGAGGTAAAAATCCTAACTCTCAAGGAGAAGGCCTTTACATAGAGGCAATGAAAAAATTATGGGCAAAGAGAGAAAAGGCCGAATAGATGAGGGAGTTCAAGAAAAAAGAACATAATGATGAGAGGCTTGCGGTAGAGACTAGAAGGCTTGAAATCAAACAACAAGTAACGTACAGGAAGCTGGATTTAATGCAACGAGAAATAGAGTTGAAACAGAGAGAAGATTATGAGAAAGTTATGAACATGGACCTTAATGGTATGAGTGAGGGACAAAAGATATTTTATAAGACATTTTAGAATGTGATCATTGCACGACGTTGTGGTGGTGGCCACTAGAAGCATCGTGTTTATTTGTCTCTTGTGTGTGCACTATGAAAAGACCTCTCTGTTATTTAGTTGGCATGTAAGCAGCTAGACTTGCTGAAGTCTTGCCTCTTGAACTGTTATTTAGTTGGCATGTAAGCAGCTAGACTTTGGACTTGTGAACCAGTTTGAAATGTAGGGGCCGTTCGCTGGTCTGGAAAGACCAGCCAGCCGACTGCTCCCCTCATAATTTACTGTTCACCAAACCAGCCGAACAGTGTTTCTCTCTCACAACAACCAGCCAATTTCAGCCAAGTTTCAGACCAGCGAACGGGGCCGTAATATACAATTTGAATTTAGAATGTGTGTGTAAATTTGTGCATGTGATGCCAAATACAAGTGGTAGAATAATATTTTTTTTGTTTTCCTGGAATCAAAATGGATGTTTATTTGACTGATACATGATTGAAGGGTGCATGACTGATAAAATAGAAGGTACTCTATTGGTAAAAATAGATGATACAAGACTACATGGATACGAAGGTTCAGTACTGATACATGTCCGAGTGATGCTGCCAACGGTGCTCGATAAGATCTTGCTGAAGTTGGACGTGGATTTGCTT